GGAGGGTGGAGGGTTTTTGAGAGCGGGTTTTTGGATTTTTTGAGGGGAAGTGTGAGGGCTTCGGTTGGAGGGCTGAGGAAAAGCCGGAATTTTGGGTTTTGAAGTTTTAAAATTTATGAGACGTTTGAGATTTTATGCAATTGGTGTCATTTGTAAAGTGGGGTATTTCGGATTTTTTATGTCAGGGTGTTTCTGCGATTGACGGAGCGGTTGTGTAAATTTTTTGGATGAAAGTATGAGCATTTTGGTTGGAGTTCTCGTGAGGAAAAGGAGAAATTTGAGTTTTTAGAGCTTTTAAATGAGAGGTATCCTGTTCTTTTAGTTTTTGGGAGAAATTTTTTTGGCGTGTGGGAGAATTGTAATGCAAGAGATGGCATTTTAATTGAAAAATTTTGCATGTTTTGAATTCCGGGATTTTTGAGCTTAAAAGAGCGGTTTTGGAGGTTTTTTTGGTTACAGTATCAGGAGTTGAAGTTCTTGAGAGGAAATGGGGGGCTTCTTAAATTTGAGGGAAAGATTGTTTTTTTTTAAATTGTAAGAGCGGATGTTTAGATTTTTTGGGTGGAAATATAAAGGTTTCAATTGAAAAATGTGACAGAAGGGGAAAATTCATTTTTTTTAAATTTTTTAACAGGAGGTGGAAGAAATTTTGGTACAACTGGTATCAATTTCAAAAGTAATTTCCCACATCTTGCGCCAAAAGTTCTTCAAAATTGGATGATCAATTTTTTTTTAAATTATGATTTGAAATGTTCGACTGCACAAAAAAACCCAAAAACCTCGGGAAAAATTCAAAAAAATAGAACAACTTCCCTCCGTCGATAAGCGTCCCACCAGCTCGCAATTCCCACTCCCCAGGTTCCTCCTCGGCACCCAGAGATGGCACCATCACCGCCTTCCCCACGACCACAAACCCAAGCGCACCACCCCACACACAAGCGAATGAGTCTGCGTAGAATGCATTTCTATCACAATTTGTAGATGAGAGCGAGGACGCCTGTGGCTTCCACCGCCCCCTTGGGTTCTCAAACGAGGTCTAAATTTCAGTACGCATTTCAGCACCATGATTAACGTTCCCATAACATGACGCAGATGTATCACCACGCTAAATTCAGATGTAAGTACAACAAACAACGAATCAATGGAAAAAAACAACGAATTTCGTGAATTCTTCAACTAATGAATTTCCGTGTTTTTCCTATTTTCTGGGGGAAAATAATCGATTAGGGACGGAAAATTTGACTTCGAGGTTCATACAACTGAGGAGGGAGAATGGAAAACTATTCACTGGGAGGAAATATTCCGCTCAGGGTGGATGGGAGTGCGTAAACAATTTTTTAATATTTTTGTTTGAGAAAAATTGAAATGTCCAGGGCCATTACTGACGCTTTGATTCGTTTTTTCCGGGTTTTAGGCACATCCTCAAGCTGATGAGACGCGAGTATCCAACGATAATGGCTGACGTTCATTACCGAGTGCTGAAGAAAAAGTGGTCCAACTTGTTACAGCAGTACAAGGTAAGAATCCCAAGTTTTTCCAATTTTCTGGGAAGGTGGGTGGGGTCGTGAGTGATCCCATTGTCCCTTGGGAGATCGGCGCTGGGGTTTTGGGAAATTGTGGAGTGCTTCTGCATTTTTGGATCGACGCTTGTTTTTATTTATGTTGTTGTAGTTGTGTTTTTGTTTTTATTTTTATTCTGTATGATTCATTCGTATTTTGATTCCAGTTTTTAAGGATATCCAAGTATATTTTTCATTTTTGTATGGACTGAACTATAGATTCAACCATTTTCAATCATCAAATTTGTCAGTTAAATTGCGAGGAAGATTTGAAAAATCGTGAATATTCAGTCATTCAAATTACATTTTGCACAGAATTATTCAGGAGATGACAATATTCTAAGCACGGAATTATATCGATGAGGTGAACAACAGATCAAGCATATCCAAGTAACTTTTATAGTCTGGTACAGACCACACTATAGATTCGATCATTTTCAATCATCAAATTTGTCAATTAAATTGCGTGAGAAAAACTTAAAAAAAAATCATGAATATTCAGCGTTGTTTAAATTACGTTTTGCACAGAATAATAATTTTTTTTGAACATTCGTTGTTTATAAATAAATAATTGAAATTGTTTAAATTTTCGGAAACCTTATTTATAGAAATTTTTGTTCTTCCTTTCTTTTTCCTTATTTATGTAAAATTTGTATAAAATGCTCATAATTTTTAAAAAACGCAATTTTGTAATTATTTCATCAATCTTCCTCCAAAAAGAAATTTTCTAATTTTTTTTGCAGGATTGTTTTTATTTATGTTGTTTTATTTTTGTTATTTTTATGCTGTGTGACTCTTGCTGGATGATTCATTCATATGTTGATTCCAGTTGAACCCACTTAAGGATATCCAAGTGTATTTTAGAGTTTGGTACAGACCACACTATAGAGTCAACCATTTTCAATCATCATTTTTTAAATGTTTTCTAACGGTTCAATATCGAGATTTAAATGCAGACCTGCAAACTTTAAATAATAAAACCTCAACCTATTGAAAATTGAAGTTTTAATTGAAATATCAAGAATTGTTGTACACAAAAATCTTGATTTTATTGAATCAGTGTAAAATATCCGAAAACTTAAGATCAAACGGGGCGCAAATGAAAGCTCTAATGTTATGCTACAAAATTAGAAAAGTATTTTACTAGAGAAAAAATAGCCGTAGTACATGGATATCCTTAAAAAAGTACTTTTTGAAAATTTTGAAATTAATTTATATGAAATTTCTGGATATTTTGTCATTTACAAATCAGTTATTTTTTTTAAATGATGGAAAATTGAGAAAATTTAAGCCCCTATTTTTTTGGAATCCTCAACCTGTTGAAAATTCAGTTAAACGTTTTTTTTTCTAGTGAAATGTAATGTTTACTTCTCAGAATGGCGTTGAAAAGTCAAGCTTTCATTGAAATATTAATAACTATTGTATATAAAAATCACAATTTAATGAAATTTTCAAGAATAATTAGAAATTCCATGGACAATTTCCCCTTAAACTGACTTTAAACTCAACATTAAAAATGCAGATGCAGTCATTAACTGAATTTCAATAAAAAATTTCTGTGTTTTTGCAAGAAAAAAGAATTATTTTTTCCAACTGAGAACGAAGGTACACTGAGAGAAAAACAAACACGTTGTCAAACAAGTCTTATTGGGGCCAACAAAATCGCTAGTTGAAAATTGCCAAAAAAGAATTTGTTTGGTTGGAATTTGAAAGTCTCAAACATGAATAATTGTTCTGCTTTCGACAGCAACGAAATATTTGGCTCAGGAGGCGGATAATTCACACCAGACAGTGCCTTTTCAGGATGAATATATCTCATGTAGAGGAAAATTTATCAACAAATATTTTATCCCCAAGTTACAAGATTGCTATCATATCATTATTATTGTTTCATTTAAGGGTTCATTTGTTATCTGTGATTATTAGACAGCCGAAACGAAAAACTACTATCCCTTGCTTCGCATAAAACAAAGATTTTTCGGGAGCAAAATACGCATGGGAGTATCGAATAACGAAGGAGTGCTAGAAATGACATTTCTTGCGTGTACAGAGAATGCAATTCTTTTTAACCTACTAAATCTATTTTGGCGACAAAAATTTTTCATTCCGGCGCACTCTCTGCATGTTTGGCCTAAAAAAATCCTTTTTTGATCATTTTCAAAAAACTATTTTCTTGGCACAAGTAAGACTTGTTCGAAAACTGTCGTTTTTCTCTCAGTGTATGGCCAAGCCTTTGTTCTCAATTTAGTGAAATAATGTTTCTTCCTTTTTTCTTACGAAAAAAAAAAGATTTTTCTACTGAGCAAATAATCTTAATTTTCTTCAACAATTGTCAGGAATTCAAAAATCCGGTTCAGGGTGACAAAAACCGTGCGGACGACGTCTCCTGGCCATTTTTCAACGCCATCGACGAAGTTTTACACGGCCAGAGAAGTGTCCGACCAGTTCGCGATAATTACGCTGATGATAATGAGATAGAGGAAGAAGTAGATCCCCACGAGTTTCTTTGTGTCTCAGTGACACCCTCCGACGAGCAAATATCACCCCCCGTTTCACCTGTCGAGGAGAAGTACAATCATTTGGACGACACGCCTATTCAAGTCGAGGAATTTTCACGTTCAAGGTATCCATTACGACTCATTGTGCATTGTTGGGTGGTTCCCTTGAAGGTTGCGACCCACTTTGTGGGTAAACTTTGTGGACGTTTTTTAGGAAAAACCTTGGGCGGACTGTTTGTAGATGAAAATTTACGGGGAAAATCGGTGTGGACGAGTCTATTTGTGCGTTCAGAAAAAGGGAAAGAATACTAGGAAGCGGATGGGAAGGAAATGGAAATTGTTTCGCGGTCCTTTTGTGGACAAAATGGGAGGTTTAACGGTGGATTTCCTGGATGAAAGGCGTCGGTGACGCGTTTTTAGACAGAAACACCTCTATTATCTCCCATGATTCCCTAGAGAATGGGAAAACAAGGGAAATTGCTCTTGTATTGCATATAGTATAGCTATTTTTGCTAATAAATTAGCAATATGCTTCCGAATGATTATTTTTCACATCATTTCCTACTGTCATGTATAATTCATTATTTATTTCATTTTATTAAATTGAATAAGATTTCTTTTCAACTAATTTTGTCAGATTTTCAACTTAGGTGAATGTTATCATCATCATTATTCTTATTGTCTCTTTCTTCTATACAACCGATTGTCTTTTTTACGGTGTTATCTCTCCCCTCAGCCCTTCGATAAAATGTTAATAGAAGAATTTTATTTATACATAGTTGAATGAATTTGAAACATCACATTTGAGGAGACAATCAGAAAGCTCACTTTCACGGAAATTCATGGAAAATCCGAAATTTTCAACAATCATCATAAAAATCAAATCAAACAATATAGCTATCGTAATCATCTTTCAACTTGGACTAAATGGCATTGAAACAAAAATTTCAAGCTATGATTGAATTCATTTGAAGCATGATATTCAAAGATATCCCCGGAATTCTGATTTTCAAAAAATGCAAATTTTTTGCAAATTTTCAAATAAATCAAAATAACGATTTTTGCTATCGCCTTCATCTTCGAACTCGGTCAAAAGGACATCCAAACAAATTTTTTAAGCCATCATTCAATCAATTCAGAACATTTTTTTAGCTATCGTGGGACAACCGATTTTCGAAAAAAATCGAAAATTAAAAAACTAATCGATGAATGAAATTTTAATTAAGGGCGATTGATAGGGCTCAATAATAGCTACCTTTGAAAAGAAGGAGATTCAATTTCATCCGGTCATTAGCGAACAATTTCGAACTTTTTGGATCATACTGGGTCGATATAACACAAAAAATCGAAAACTTAAATTTGAACGATTACAAAATTTCCATTCGGAATCAAAAACTACCAAAACATCGATTCCTCCAAGATTTAATCTTCTAAAGCAGTGAATTTCATATTTAAAGTGTAGCTCTGACGAAAAAATCTCTGAAACAAAAGTTATCAACCACAAAAATCACTAGAATAGTTCCCTTATCTCCACTAATTCCCTATAAAGTCCTCAGAATCTACTGGAAAAAAATTTTCACTCGAAATTTCATCACTAGAACTATTAGAAAATAATTATTAACAAGAATAAAATTTTTTAGATCATCGAAGAGTGAGAATACGCCCTCGATATCTGTCAAAGACCTCAACAAACTCAGAAGAACAGAAAACCAATCACGTGTTAGCCAGCAGCAGCTGCAGCTGATCCGAACGGCTGTGAATCAGGCAAAGAGGCCGAAACAGACTGTCGAAGCGGAAGGAAATAAAAAGAATAAGGTACATCATATTGAGAGGACTCAGCAGGACTCCACGACTCCACAATCCACAGAGTCACAACTTGTCGATAAATTCGAGGAATTTCTGGAGTACACGAAGCAGAGGGATGAGGAGAACAGACTCATAATGCTGAGGATATTGGCAGCAGTTGAGAAAATTGCTGAGAAATTTGAATAAATGTGTCTTTTTGTGTGGAAAATCTTTAGGTTTAATATCTGTTGGATTTTTCCAGAATTTTAATAAATTTTTTTGATGGAAAAGAAAATTACTTCATTTCATTTTTTTAAGAAAACAATTTTTTTTTTCAATTTTCCCAATTAATAAATAAACAGCTGTTAATTTTGTCCAGAATTTTAATAAATTTTTTTGATGGAAAAAGAATTACATAATTTCGATTTTTTTTTAAACAAAATTTTGATATGAAAATCTTTTTTTTTTAAATGCCATAATTAGAAAAATTAAATAACAAAATTGAGGAAATTCCGATGGAAATTTTTGATGCAGAGTTGATTTTTTAGATTTTTTTTTCAGGCGAAAATTCAAGTGCAATTCGGATGACTTTTTTCTAGTTTTCAGTTGAAGAATAAAATTATTTTGAGGGTCAAGCGACCCTTAAAGTTATATGACCCGTTTTGATCACTTCTAGTCTATTGACCCTCGATTTTAAACCTTCTCAGGGATGGTTTGACCCTCAATACTATTTTACCCTCACATCCAAAAGTCCTCCAGAGTCATTTGACCCACAACCCCAAACGTGATTAAGGGTTCCTTGAATCTCAATATCATTTGAACCTCAACCCTGAATTTACTTGAAGTTCGTTTGACCCTCGTCTACAAACGGCCTTAAGAGTCATTTGACCTCAACCCCAAACGTCATTAAGGGTTGTTTGACCTACAAGGTCATTTGGCCCTCAACTTTAAACTTTCTTCAGGGTCGTTTCATTTTGTAGATAATTTGACCCTCAACTTCAAAAGTCTTCAGGGATCGTTTGACCCTCAACTGAGAAGTCTGCAGGGGTCGTTTGCCCCTGAAAATCATTTGACCCTCAGACCGTCGGCCCTCTTTAAGAGTCGTTTGACCCTCAATTCTAAAATTTTTCAATGATTTTTTGACTCCTAAAACTCTCTATTTGACCCTCAACTCCAAAAAAATTCAAGGGTCGTTTGACCCTCAACCCTCAGCTCTCTTAATAGTTTTTTGACGCTCAAGACCATTTGACCCACAACTCCAAACGTCCTTAAGAGTCCTTTGACCCTCAAAACCTCTTGACCTTCAACCCCAATCAATCTCAAGGGTCCTTAGACCCTCAAACCCGTTTGACCCTCAGCCCTAGACGTCCTTAAGGGCCCTTTGGCCCTCAAAATCATTCTAACCAAAAGAAGTACGAGCCAAAAAATTCGATTAAAAATTGTTCAACTTCCCAATGATCATTTCCACCGATAAAAATAATCCGAGAAAATTTTCCAATGGAAAAAAGCCAATTTTCACCTAATTTCTCCCTTGAAATCCCCATTAACTCCTAAATTCCCTATTGAAAACTCCCACTAACTCTTCTACCATTATCCCCGATGCGCACGTGGCATAGCAGATGCTGTTGTACGTTAAAGAGGTGGCCGGAGTCTCGTGACCCCTGGCAAGTACCAATAATTAACTGTATGCACTCGAGTGCTTACGTCACGATGTGATTCCCCCTCTCGCCAATTTCCCCTGGAATTTACGGTTACTACAACCGTCCCTTTAAGCCTCCCCGCCCCCTCCTCCTGACGGACCCCCCAGGCGGTAATGGATCATTTACACGGAGAAAAAAAATGGTCTTCGATTTTTGAAGATCGAGTTTCTGGGAAAAAAAAAATTGAGAAATCTACTCACCACAGACTTTCGAGGAGTTTGTGAAGGTATGCAACTTCTTCCAGCTCTTCCATCCTTTCTTCCATATCATAAGTGCTTTGTTACGTCGAGTTGTGCAGCCGATGAGCTTGGTGCACGAGGTCGACGCGAGAGAATTCTTTCCGAGGTCTCGACGGAGAGATCCAAGTCCAGATCTTGAGGGGGGAAACAAAGAAATTGGTGAGATTTTCATTGTTTCGTTGGGGGAGCGGGAGAAACTGTTGAGAAAAGGTGTGGAGGGTTTGATCTAGTTGGAAAATCAGCATTGGGGGAAAGCAATCGTTTCACTGTCATCAGGATTTGCGGACACATTTTTCACATATTGAGGGTATCGAATTATCTTATAATTTGGTGCAGATGAGATAAATTCAACCATTTTCAATCATCAAATTTGTCAATTACATTGCGTGAGAAAAATTTGAAAAGATCATTAATATTTGGCGTCATTCAAACTACTTTTTGCATAGAACTATGATTATTTTTTTAAACATTGGGTGTTTATAAATCCCTTTATATTATAAAAATTCACATTGGCTTCTAGTGATCAAAATTTGGTACGCGAAATTAAGACTCCGAAATTAAAGGTCATAAGTGTCATGAGGGTCCGAATAAGGGTTAGAATAAGGGTCACGAGAGTTAGAATAAGGGCCACAAGGGTCAAAATAAGAGTCACAAGGGTCAGAATAAGGTTTCAAATAAGGGTCACAGGGATCAGATTAAGGGTCACAAGGGCCATATTAAGGGCCCAAATAAGGGTAGCAAAGGTCAGAGTAAGGGTCACGAGGGTCAAAGTAAGGGTAAAAAATCTCTATAGGCGAGTTGCTTTTGATTGAATAAATACCTAAAAACCGTAAAAAAACCCTAGACGTCTACAAACATCAAAGAAAATTCCATTTTATGAACTTCAAGCTCATTTTCCAGCTGAATTAATCTCTAATTGAAAAAACTTCGAGACAAAAATTGCAAATCACAAAATTGCCTTAAAAAATCACAACAAAAAAAATTATTCATCACTACTACTTCCCTAGAAAATCCCCAGGAACCTTTAAAAATAATTCTCACATGAAAATCTATGTTTTAGTTGAAAAGTCAACAACTATAGCTCAAATTGTAAAAATTTGGAAGAATGTTGTAGAATGCGAAAAAATCCTCTTAAAAAATTCCCTAAAAAATCCCTAGAAAACGTAAAAAAATACTAGACGATGTTCACGGTTTCATGAAAGAATGAACGAGCAATTTTATGTCCTTCAAAAATCACTATAGACAAGTTGATTTTGATTATATAAATCCCTAGAAAACGTAAAAAACCCCTAGAAGTCTACAAACACCAAAGAAAATGTTATTTTACGAACTTCAAGCTCATTTTATACCTGAATCAATCTCTAGTTGAAAAAACTTTCAGACAAAAATGGCAAATTACAAAATTACCTTAAAAAATTACAACAAGAAACTACCTAGAAAATCCCTAGGAACCCTTAAAAATAATTCTCACGTGAAATTACGATAAAAAATTCAACAACTGTACCTCGATTTTGCAATAAAACTACTGCTACAAAAAAAGAAAAATTCCCAAAAAATTTCCAGATCCCAAAATTCCCTAGAATGTCACTAAAACCGTTCATTTATCCCAATAATCCCTTTGGAATTCATATAAACAGATGCCAAAGGCCCCCAGAATTCGTAAAAAAATTTTTTTTTATATTTTGGGTGTCAATAACATTGCAAAAACAATGAAACACGATCTCATTTCCCTATATCCATTTTCCAAATCAAAGAAAGTGAACGTTTCGCCTTTCTACCGATGCATAAACCGTACCGAGTGCCTATGACAGTGAAAGTGGAGTTCACTAGTGCATAAATCACATCTCAACAAAAAAAAAAGGAATACCTGTAACTGGCGCTGGAGCTGCCACTGAACCCACTGTCGAGATCGCATCCCACTGGTGACACAGACTCATCGGCCAAAATACTCTGCAATATTTTCCGCTTCTCCTCTCCATCGTTGCGCGTCTTCTCCGAATTTTCGTCTGCCTCATCGATCATCGAGGGCATCAACATCGCCTCGACACTCAGATTCAATTCACCGAGGACTCGGCGATGACATGACTGCACTCGTCGGACTTCTTCATCCACTAGAGAACGTTGGGAGCCTGAAATACCCAGGCGACATTGTCTGCTGGGGAGAATGTTTAAACAAATTCGTTAAAAAATTATTTTATCACAATTTTTTTTAATAGATCTTTTCATTCTGGAAATCTGGGGGAAGTGTTTGTTCTGTTCGTCGAACTGAAAAATCTCCAGAAAAATAATAAAAAATTCTGATAAATATTGACATTTAAGATGATGAACATTTGAGTCCACAAAAATGAGCCCATCTCCTAGGGGAATGAACATGGGAAAAAGTATCCAAAAATCGAGTGACTCTCAGTATGAAAGGGTCTATTAAACAAAAAAATCTTGTTTTTTGTAATAATGAAAAATTCACCAGGATCTGACTCTTTCCAAACATCAGCCCTTTACGAAAAAAAATTTAGATACACTTCTAAAAATTTAGAAACCCTGGAAACCGACTTTGAAAGAAAAATTGGAAAAAATCCCCAGATTGTTATGAATATTCTCTTTGTTGCCTTGTCTTCAATCGATAAAAAACAATTTGGAAGCTTTCTGAACATGTGTGATTCTTAAAACATGGAAAGAACTGCGTGGAAGTGTTTCTAAAAATTATATAAAAAATCCCTAGATTCATCTTGGTATTCCCCTAAATTCCTGGTCAGAATGGTTAATAAAAATCACTAGGGGGCCGTCAGACGGTTCTGTTCTTCTAAATAGTGCACAAATTTTTTTGAAAAAACTTCGAAAAAATGAACGTTTCCAAATATTTATGATTCCCAGAAAATCGAAATAACCGCATGGAGAATTCTTTCTAAAAAATTATATTAAGAATCCCTAGATTCCCCAGGATGTTCTTCCTCCCCCCATGGGGACACACCGGGGGGAAAATTTTTGAAAACCCCTCAAAATACTTCAGAAGAAGCTGAAAGAGCCTCATGGAAAATTGTAGGAAAAAAAAATTCCCTAGCCTCCCCTCACACTGCTTCCCCACCCCTCATCCATCCGCCCATCTACAAGAGGTTTAGGCCCTTTAAAAGATTAAAAAAATTCTTCGAAAAAAGTTTCGAAAAGATTCTTAAAAAATCCCCAGATTCTCCACGGTGTGCCCCCCCCCCCTCCCACTAAAAATCTATCAAAATCTCTCAAAACATCTCCCAAGCTGAAAAAAGTCTCATGAAAAACTCGACGAAAAAAAACAAAAATTCCCTAGCCCCCCCCCCC